TGAGGAAACCTATAGACTGTGAAGGACTACAGCACCTCTGTTTGCCACAGCTCTCTCTTGAACAAATCATTTAGTCCAATCTGCTACAGCATAAATTTTTACTTTCTGTGCCAGGTCAGAGTTTGACCATTAACCACTTTGTTGCCCCCTCACCACCCACAGGTGTCACATTTCCAGCTCCTTTGAGGATGACCAGGTGTACATTCATGCCATATCTGATGCCCGTTGCGTCTTTGATATGGGAGTAAGTAATGTTAAATGTTGTTATGTTACTAGTTTCACTATGAGCATTTGTATTGCTTTCTGTTACACACTGTGTTTTGGAAACTTGAGTGCTTTGGTAATCACTTTTGTTTTTGGTTACACATTTACAAGCCTTTGTCTGCCTCAGGAGGAAATTGGCTTCAACATGAAAATCCTTGACATTGGAGGCGGCTTCAGTGGCTCTGAGACCCAGCTGGAACTGGTCAGTAGCTTATCTGCTTTTTACATGATACTAATCAAGGACACACTGGGCAGTACAACCTGTATAAGCCACACTGCTGGAGAAATGTGTCATAATATGGATTTGACTATTTCTTTTGTCCTGGTTTAGAATATCAGAATACAAGTGCACCTGTCTGTTTGAATGTTTGTATTAATAAAGTAGTGGAAAAGTTGATTAAAAAATGTTACTATTAATTTTCTTAAAATTCAGCAGTGTAAACAAATGCACTCTGGCTTTTGTAGTCACTGTACAGGATGCCGTTCCATCACACAAGTAGAGGCGCATAAAGCTGTGTTCACAAACGCCTGCTGAAAAACCCTTTTGTTGTGTGGCATCAACACCCCTGTGCTGCAGTCCAACCAATCAGACGGCTCTTTTCTTCCTTTCTGGAAGTTTTGGCAGCGTCTTTCCCTGCACACCGTGCTGATTAAGATACGGCATCACCACATCAGCGTAATGCTGCAATTGCAGTAACACATGACAGAAATCCACAAATTGCAACACTTGTTAGAAAATAGTGTTGACCATGAGGACACCTGTAATTCTCTATGCAGGAAAATCCCTGGAAGTACAATGTATCATTAGTTCAATATTCAAAATGTTCTGTGATATAAATTGTATGTTGTCTCGCCCAGTCGTATGACACACTGTAGTCGGTGCTATTTGTGTTAATGAGAGGTCTGAAATAAGCCACTCTTTAAAGGTTAACAATGGGATTAAATTAAGTAACATATGACGTGTGATTTTTAAAGGTCTGCACATTTTGGTTCCTATTTTTAACCACTGCTATCTCTATTGCAGATCAATAGTGCAGTCATGTCTATGGTAAACCTATACTTCCCTCCTTCTACTGGAGTTTCCATCATTGCTGAGCCCAGCAGCTTCTTTGTGTCCTCTGCTTTCACGCTGGCTGTGAACGTCATCTCCAAGGAGGTAGTGGCACGCGATCACCAGGACCAGGCACATGGTCAGTGGCATGGTATTATTCTATATTCATATTTAAAAAGATGTCGGGGCTTATTTACAGACAAGGAAACAGTGAGGCACATGACTGCGTCTGAAAATGTTGCATTCCAGGAGTAACCAGACTCTAAGGCTGACTTTACGTGGTGCAGTTTGGTTGCCTCAGCAGTTTCATACTGTAGGACCAGGAGGAGGACTGCCATTTTGAGGCTGTAAAAATGAAATGCAACTGTTGTATGAAAGATGCATTATGTAAAGTCCACCCAACAGCTGTGGCAAAGAGAACTACGCAAATGTGTGATTGAAAAACTGCAATGTGGACATACATTAACATTAAAATAAACATATTAGTAACAGTGAGTTTAAAAATTAATGTTGTAGATTTTGTCTACCATCTCTTTTTAACAGATGATCCATCTCCCAACGATGAGCCAGAGTTCCAGTACTACATGAGCGAGGGAGTGTATGGATCATTTGCCAGCAAACTCTCTGAGACCCTGATCGCTGCTCCTGCTGTTCACAAGGTGAGTCTAAAAGATTCTCTATGGTTCAAGATGTAGCACACAGCAAAACTTTTCTTCTAAGGTTCTCAATATTTAGACTCATTCCCTTGATCAAATTCACATTTGTTAGTCAAACATCACATCCTAACCAGTAGGTGGCTAAATAAACTCACTGTATAACTAAATAATCATCTTTGATGCCACCCTCTACTGCTATAATTGAGTGAAAAATGGTAATGTAATAAATAAATAGATGTAGAATGAAATCAAAACATTACATTTTTTTGAGATTTATTTAGGGAGTTGTGCAGCTCATAATGAAGCCCCTCCATCTCGTGCATGCACAATACTACTTTTATGTTACGGAGATGTGTGATCCTGAATTTCAAGATGTGAAAACCAAAAATCACTTATTGATAGATGTTTAGTTGAGAGGTTTATGTCGTGGAAATTATATTCCTGGTGAGGGGTTGAGCAAAGAATTGAGTTACAACCAACCGTTGTCTTTGAAGAATTTTTTTAACAAAAGAGAATAAACAAAGTACTTAAACACATATACAGCAGGTCCAGAGACCTGCCGCCTTGGGCGTCTTCGGTCGTCTGGCCCCGAGCATAGGGATGCATCATCAATTACACAGTCTAGGTTTCTATGTTTTTGGGAACAGAGATCCTCTCTCGGCCTTGAATGAACATTCCAGGAGAGGAGAGGAACAACAACAGATGAAAACACCAAAACAATCTCACAGCTCTGACCTAAACCCTAGTAAATGTGGACGGACTGACATAAGGAGTATAGGAAAGGAAAGGTTAAGGATAAAAAAAACACAATACATATATCTATAAGCCATAACAAGAATAGTAATAATAATAATAATATTAAATTATCATACATAAAAGATTAAATGTAAGAGGGCACAATTTTCTGCCAAAACCGTATACATGCAACAGATGTTCATTTAGGTAAGTAAGCCAACGTGTTAACTGGATCTTCATTATGATGATGGCTATGGCTGTACTCTTAACTATGGCTATGATATTTAGATCTGTCAACCCAAACCAAATCCAGTTGAGTAAGTGTTACGAAGTTCTCATTTCCAGGTGATGATTGTTGTGTGTTTGGATTACTAAATACATGATCTCTGCTCTGTATGTTAGCAGAACACATCGCTGGAATCGCCAGTGTTCAGCAGCAGCCTGTGGGGTCCCTCTGGGGATGACCTGGACCAGGTAGTGGAGCACTGTCTATTGCCTGAGATCAACGTCGGAGACTGGCTCATGTTCACCCAAGCAGGGGCTTACAGTATGGGGCAGCCACTCTGTGCTGCCACTGACTCACCACCACCCCCTGTATATTATGTCATCTCCTCCAGAGACTGGTAAGGAACTCGGTGGAGGATTCTTTATACATTGGGAGTGTGTTGCAAAGTTCACATATTGAATGAAACCTTGAGAATGTTTTCTGTGCCGATTTCACTCATGTCCATTTTCCTCCGCCAGGTTTGAGATGCAGGACACTGGTGTCACCCACGAGGCTACACTGAAGAACTTCTCATTGGTCCCTTATTTCCTCAATTCCTGCCAAACAGAGGCTGCACTGTCTGTCCCAGCTTAGCGATCATCAGACCAGGAAGATGTTCAGCTTTCCTTTATTGATTTCTGCTGCTAGCTTCCTCTGGCCTACATTCCACTGGGATGAACTGAACTGACTGTGCAGACAGTGCTTGAAATGTTTGGGACACACCCCTGTGTAAAGTATAACAAGTGATTAGACCCTGGAAAACCCATGTTGGTGTTAATTAATATGCAACACAATGGATGACTCCAAAAAAGAGGATTGCATTCTTCCCTTTGCTTTGGGCATCCCATGGCACTACAGTTTACGCTCATACAGTAGACATAGAGATATAATGATTTTAAATGATTATATTTGAGAAATGTATTATCTATTATCTCCATTGCTGTTGCCAGTCTTGTAAAGTAAAATTTGTATCCCCGAGTGAAGCAGTGTATTTAAACAGAAACACAGTTCTGAGATGTTGTAGGCTGCTTTGCGACAAGATGTGTATTTATGAATTTTAATTGGTTGTATAGTTTCTTTTGTGTGATTTTGATTTCATTATTACATTTAAAATCTGTTGTCCTTCTCAGCGTTTTTGAAATGGAGGCTTGCATATGGAGGTGTATTTACTCATCTGTCTGATGCAGTAAACAAAGCCAGTGATCAATGTGCAGTGTCTCTGTGAAATCCACTCCTGGAAAACGATAAGTGCAGTCTGCTCTGGTGTGGTTGGGAAGCTAATGGCTCATTTTTCACCAGTAAACTGGTGTTTTCAGTATTAAGTGTTGCTCACTAGCTGTCTCACAGACCAGTGAAAGACTGGCAGGTAGCTACTATATCACGGCATAGCAAAGTAGGTTTAATAGACAGCATGTGCTGCAGATGGAACAAAGGAAGTGTTGATGGATAATGAATCAGCTGACATGAAATGGGGTCTTTCCAAAAAAAAAATTGATAATGTTACTTTTTTGCTGTTTCTATCAACAATTATATTAGAAAAAGATTTTTTCAACATTTGATTGTTGAAAGAATATTATTTCCCGACAGGGTCAGGCGTACTTGCAAATTGTGTATCATATCTGTGAAATGTTCTCCTAATCTGTGTCTTAACGCATGATAAATTATCGGGTTAAAAACTTGTATCTCTGCTTGTCAACATGGACAATAATAAACACCTCATTGACTGGACTGTGAATCACTGTGTCTGTGTCTTGTTGTCTTTAACAGAACATTCAGATTTTTCTTATTGAAACCCTTTTGCTGCAGATTTACCGAATTCAACTCGAGCACTTTCAGAAATGATTTCATAACGTGATGACTTTATCAAATTCTCATCCTGGATAATGGGACTGCAGCCTAAATGGGATTTGGTTTGAGGAGCTAAAACTCTCACAGGTCAAAACCATGTAGGCACTATTGAACAACGTGACCTATTGTAAGTGTTTGTCATTGCATGTAAAATAAGTAGGACAAACACTACACTACAAGATTTCTGTACAGGAATTACATGTGTTCAAGTTTAATAAAGAATTCTGTTTTCCCTGCCAGAAAACAGCATTGTGCAAAATCGTTATATAACAGATAGACTCTCATGTGGCACAGAAGAACAATAGTGAACATTCTTTGGTCAAATATCACTGAAAAGTGAACATACATTTAGCATTCATTTGTAAAAATGTTATTCAAATTACCAGCAGAATAGTTTCTCCAGTTGATATTTTCAGTGTAATTGTAATCTAAGTTTACAGTAGTTTGAAGTTGAATGGAAACAGTCTCATTACCTCTTTCATATTCAACTATAATTAAGGAACTGCAGCAAAGATCCTTCCATGCAACTTAATTTAGGGTTCAGTTCTGCAGTGTTGTGCAACTTTCATGAGCTGACTGGTGACGTGTAAAAGTCTGGCGCACACTCCTCTGTGTACTGTTAACACAAAGCCTCACTATTCAGTTTCACAGTTTTTACTCAGGATGCCTCACAGAGAGTTTGTTAAAGATTGTAGAAGCGGTGAGGTCAGCAGACTGGGTGACCCCTAACGTCCAGCAGGGCACCGTCCTCGCTGATAGGTGTCGCCGGGCGTGCTTGGCCAGGTGGTCGCTACGCATGAAGCGGCTGAGGCACATCGGACAGGCAAACCTTTTCTCGCCGGTGTGGGTACGTCGGTGGCGAGACAGCTCGTCAGAGCGTGCGAATCGCCTCTCACAGCCCTCCCACTTGCATTTGAAGGGCTTCTCCCCTATTGGAGCACAAACAGTGAAGTGGAAACTGGGGTTTATTTGGATTTTATTTGACATTTGGATGCGTTTAAAAGTGTTCTTTAATTAAAAAGCATATGCTTTTTTTTAATCCTGTATTCAAATAATTTGTCTCTTACCTGTATGTGTCCTCATGTGGGCCTTGAGGTGGGAGCTCTTGAAGTAGGTCTTGTTGCAGTCCTCATGGGGACAAACATGACTGCGTACACGGGACACTTCTGGCTGCTTTGGGCTTTGTCTGTGCTCCACCAAGGCACGACCAGGCGCGGGGGCGATGGCTGGTAACTTGGTGCCACCGGGGGGTCCTCAGTGCTGGCTGGACGTAGAGTGTGGGAACAGCCGGCTGAGGGACAAAGAGCATTACGGTACCTTTTGCCACCTGACCCCCTAGGAGGAAGACCTGGGCAGGAGAAGCTGCTTGGGTTTGTGGTTGTGCCAGTTGTTGTTTGTGCTGCTGCTGTTGTGGTGGCGTGCACACAGTGCTGAGTGCTGATGGGATAGGTAGCAGGTCTGGCTTCTGACTCTCCGAGGCATTGGCATAAGGAGAAGAGATGGGAAGAATCTGGCAGTAGACAGGCAGAGGAGAGACACCGGAGCCACCAGCTGAGTTTGATTTATCCTCTGGGTCCAAAAGAGGCATCTGCGTCTGGCTGGCTTCAACCACATTTAACACAGTGAAAGAATCAGAGTGCATTACAATATGTCCCTCAGAATCTCTTCCGTTCATCCCATCCTCAGAGGTCAAATCTGTTTTACAGTCTTTTGTTTGAACTCGAGTGAATAGGTCTTCACTTGAGACAGGATGGACGTTATAGGAGCAGCGCTGGCCATCTGAAGTGTGGCGGATTACACTCGTGCACAGGAACTGTTGCTGAGAAGCAGCAGAGTGTGTGTGCAGACGAGTCTCTTCTGTTTGCTGCAAGCTTGGCTTAGCTGCTGCAGGGCGGTTTAAATTCGCTGCTGAGGGTGGATGTGTGGCCTCAAAGTTGGGTGGACTGTATGGCGGTGTCATACACTGAAAGGAAAGGAGGTGTGACAGTCAAGGACAAGGATATTTATAAATGCAGGCTGCAGAGCATAGAAAACCCTACAAAATATATAGTGTCATATTCTAGGCCAAATTTTTAAAAAAAAGTTGTTCACTCAGGCTTGTTCTAAATAAAATAAAAAACTTAATATAACTCTCAGCACATATGCCTCACTTACCAAAGGAGAGCCCTGTAGCATACAAGACCCAAGGGGGGCAGAGTCATCCTCTGAGTAGTCTGAGGACGGACTCAAGGGTCTGAAGTGTCTGGTCCTGAAGTTCCTGGTCTTCCAGTGCTTGGTCATGGACATCAGAGCCTCTACAGCCTCCATGTCACCTGAACCTAAAGGGGAGGGCTGAAATTCACCCTGGACGTCTGAGTAGAGCTCCTCACCTTCCATGTTGCAACTCTGATAGAAGAGCAAAAATAAGTATAACACAACACTATGGACAGTTCTTTCATTTAAGTTTGTGACCTTTTCTTTAGTAGATCAGCAATAGCTATGCTGGATTTAAAGAATAACAATGAGCTATACATTATGTAAGCAATCATGAACAGCCCACTCCATGTCCCAGCATGTTCACAATGTTTTAAAGCGCTTTGCTTTCGCCATTCACCTACACATACACGATATGTAAGGGGCCATGTGAAGTGAGCATGATCACTTTCAGCACTGGGGCCCTTTCACCTACTTCCCCAGGGGACAAAAAGAACCAAGTGTGCTGCTTACACAAGCAGTCACACAACACTTAACAACCCCTCCCAGACCTGTCCAGCTCACACACAGTTTACAGACACCGCCATCGTGAATACCATGACTGGTGGCATGTTACTGAACTATAACCTAGATTCAAGCTGGTCATAATAAGGCTTGACAACCATCATTAGAAATAAAACAAACAAAAGCCACTAACACTATCTAGCCCAGGTAATAGATAACATATCGTTTGTGTGTGTGTGTTATCAGACAAAAAGAAATGCCACTAGATGAAGACTATATAAAAATATACTACTATATAAAAAATCGATTTACTTACATCTTCATGTGAATCTGTGTGATCTGTTCAGGAGCCCGGCTATTATTCGTCCTTGCGTCTCGTGTGAAGCCTTCAAACCAAAAGTGTGAAAGTCTCCCAGCTTTCGCCTGAGCCTAGTTCCCATTCATCGTTTCAAACACGGTGGGGAAAACAGCCTGGCTCAACGTCTCGTCCAATGGGAGGCAAAGGTGTGTTAAGGCACCGGCCAATGAGAGAGACAGTCGCTGCGTGATCGGGGACTGACTGCACCATGGGGGCAGCGTGGTACACAACAGCGTGGGCGTGTGAAAAACATTTCCGTCCAACCCCTCCCCATCCCCCAATACACACACCCACACCATCGACTTGGATGAGTCACTTAACCCTCTTCATCAGCAGGACCAGACAGACACACACACACCTTCTATGACTAATCAAACTTTGGAGAAAGGAAATCAAGTTTCACTGTGGCCTGAAAGAACCTTTTAGTTCCTTCAAAAGTAGATTACCCTGCTGTAATGTTTCAAATTTTTCACCTGTGAGACAAATAAAGGCTGATCTTATCATATCTTATCTTATCTTAAAAGTCTCAGGCACTTTTGGTGGAAACTCAGCTTTTAATTGACCAACTAGAAATGTGGTGTCACTGCTCCAGAAATAGCTTATTAGCATTTTTAAAACATTTTGAAAATTCTGTACTTGTTTTAGAGTTTACGTCCTCTGACATTTCTCATTCGGTAACCCGGAAGAGGTATCAACTAGCTCTAAGTGATAAAATTCTTAAAGCTGAAGTTGAACTGACCTCAGCTTCTTACCTATGTAAAAAAAAAAAAATGTTCCAATTAGCAGGCTTCTTGTCCTTTGTATGAGAGAGAGGTCAGCCAACAGGAGATGGCCTCAGGCAGCCCACTGGATTAGGTGTTAGCTGTCTAGACCTTCCTGCACAGCACAGAGAACCAGAACAAAAGGCCAGCTGTAGACACACAATGCCGAAATACACACACAGCACTTTGAGTCTTGCACTGCGGGGTGTTCCTCAAAAGCATGTCCAGGAATGAGTTGCTGGAAGAGAAAACAAGAAAATAAATAATTATTTTTAATATATCATAGTGACACCCTGATTCCAGCTTCCAGCATCCTAAATTTAAATTTGAACCATTGTTCACACTTCAGCTTCTTGAGGATGCTCTTATCACGTAGGCAACATTGGCAGTTTTTCCACTCTTCAATATGCACCTAATTAATATTTATAGTGTGTAGTTCTGCACATTGTGTAAAAGCTTATCTTTTTCCATAAAAGGTTGTGCCTTGAGCCTTTTTTACACTCCAACTTAAATTACAATATATTAAACAATACAAAACCTTTTTTGGGGGATTTTTTTGCACTTTTAGTTTTAAAATAGGACAGCTAATAGTTCACAGCTCAAAACTAGAACAATATTACCATCACAAATTTATATTGGCTGGCTGTTACTTCAATATGTGCAGCAGGTCTTATCTGGATTGAGGGTCTATGGATCAAAATGCCATCTGCTGTACCGATTATAACGCCCCCTGAGGCAATTTTGTGATATTATTATATCATACTATCAAAATAAAAACTGACTTGACTTAATTTTACTAACTAATGTAATTAATGAAATGTCAAATGGATTTGGCTCTACTGAAGACCAAAAACCCTGAGCTGCATTAATTGATTCTTTTTTTCCACTTGGAGGCAGCAGACTAAGCTAAAAACACAATGTGGACATATTTTCACCTTATACCTTATTCCAAAGGTTCTATGGCAAGTGTTTGCAAAAATTGCCTATTTACACTTCGTGCAGACACAGAGCAACATAAGCATGTGGAGTTATGTTTCTGGCAACTTGGAAGATCTGAACCAAAACAATGATCCAAAATAGACCATAAGGCCCTGCTCCCTATCAACTTCCGAGTTGGGTGTAATCTCTGTGGGTTCGTCACTACTAGCAACGCCTTTGCCTCACACAAAGTTACTTAATCTATTGTCTTTATAAAAATATACGTTTGTGCAGCTTTAAACTGAAACATATTGCAGAACGGTCTTTAATGTGTTGATTTATTTGTGTTTATTTTGATATGACCTCTGTAATAATGGTTGTGGCTCAGTCTTTTATTTATCTTTACATTCAGAGTGAGAGGTTGTCCTGGTCTTAGGCCAATCAGGTTGCTCTAGTTTCATAAGCATGACGAAATGGGGACCCAGATTTTTGGCCAGTTTTAATAGTTACAATGGCCATGCTCTTTTGAGCAAAACTTTACAACATCCCCATATTGTGCAATCTACAAATGTATTTTGTTAGAATCTAGTCCCAGCATTGCCCCAGATGTTGTAACTTCCTATACAACATCAGCAAATATGCAAGTGATGTTGAATGGCAAGAGAGACAAGGCTGACAAGGAGTCACTGTTCTCATTTGGTGTTAGAGAAATGGATTCTTGTCTCTCTACAAAAAGTAAAAGCCTCTTAGAAGATAGTGGAACAGCTCATTACTTCTTGTTATTTCTCATGTCCATGCAGGCCAGCGTAATGCCAGCATAATGCCCTTTAAGCTGTGCAGCATCTATGACTGGGTGTTTGGAACAGAGGGGATTGTGCGCGAGAACTGGACTGACCTGTTGCTAACAGGCAGAGTTACCCCCTCATGGTCAATCCTGCCCCGGGCCGGTAACGATATGTCACAGCCAGCACTAAGAGGAGTTATTTTAAAGTCTTACTCTCCAGCCAGCGATCGTCTTACCTCACTGGGAATAACTTCTGTTTGGGGCCTGAGTGACAGGAGCTGGTGCTGATAGACTGATCTTTGAATGAATGTGGAAGATGGCTCAATACATGAAAGTAAGACTTTATCCATGTAAAAGGCTTATTTTAATTAAACTACTATGAATGAACTTACTTATTTTCTAAAGCTGCAAATCCATTAACCTTGCTCTGATGACAGTGCAGTTTCCAGGCTCTGACTTTTTGTACCCGTATTTAACAACACCAGAGGTCATTTGATAACATAGTAGGTTACCCAATACCTAAATATAGCTCCTGGAGATTTCTGGGATTTTGTTTGACTTCACTCTTAAAAATGATAACAGGGCTGTTTGCAGATCAGTGGAACTGGATTCATCAACCTCTGAGTTGAACTCAGTAAGCACAGAGAAAAGGTCCTAAACTTCTGCCTCTGCTGGTTACATGACATGTGGCATTTGGAGCAAAAAGTGAGACTAAATGATAGTTAGTTTAATTCAGTTTAATTCCAAATGATGATATCTGCAGTATTGCCCATTATTTCAGCTCGTTACTAATGACATCAGCATCATTTTAACCTATTATTGAACAGATGTGCTAAGACACCAATGACAGCCCAGACAAGACTAAAGTTGAAAACAAACTTCGACTGCTTTTTTTTCTACGTAACATTGCACAAATCAGATGATACAGAAAAACACGTCCACACATTTGTTATTTCTAAGATGGATTATTTTAATCTTTTATCTTTATTATTATTATTATTATTATTCATTATTGGCTCATTATCAAGCGGCTTGAATAAGTCCTTTAAGACCCTCCAGTTGATCCAGAATGCTGCGACACACATGTACTGACAAGAACCAGGAAAAGAGATCATATTAGTTTCTGTAAAATCCAGAATAGAATTTCAAATCCTTCTGCTCACTTACAAAGCCCTTATTGGTAAGGCACAATCCTATCTTAAAGAACTCATAGTACCTTATTCCTCTGCTAGAACACTGCGCTCACAGAATCTAGGGTTACTTGTGGTTCTTAGAGTCTCCAAATGTAGAATGGGAGCCAGAGCCTTCAGCCATAAAGCTCCTCCCCTGTGGAACCAGTTCCCAGTTTGGGTTCAAGAGGTAGACAGCACCTCCACATTTAAGAGTAAGCATAAGACTTTCCTCTTCGATAAAGCGTGCAGTGAATCATCCCTTAATTACGCTGCTATAGACTGAAGGGAGACTTCCCATGATGCACTGAGCTCCTCTCTCCTCCTCTCCATCTGGATGCACTCTTATCCCATTGATGCATGTTACTAACTCAACGTCTTCCCTCTTCCTTAGGTTTTTGTTGTTGTGTGGTTGTGGGCCGCCTGCTGCCCCCATGTTCCTGCTCAACTCCTGCTGCTGCAATTATTATCATTAGTCTTATCATTACTATTTCTATTCCTATCATCATTATTATTCTTTTTCATTGATATTTGTATTATAACCACTACCATCACTATTATTTTACATCTCTATCTGTTGGGCTACTATGTTCTTTCCTCCTGTGATGCAGGTGGCAGATAAATGAGGAATCTGACCTGAGGCAGTGCAAATGTATGACATGCTTAATTTTAGATGCCATCTCCATCAGTAAGAAACCTCTCAGTTTAGGTTCCAGTTGTTAAAGACATTATTTTAATCTTATTTCAGTACAGAAATACTTAACAAATGGCCATCCTGGACAGTTACAGAGGTCTAGAGCTATGCACATGTCTATGGTCATGTGCATAATGGTTAAGGGCAAAAACTCTGAGGGGCAGTGCAGGAAAGGGACAAATACTTTCTGAGACTAATTATAATCTCATTATGAAAGGTAAACCCTGCCACCTGCTGGTGTAAAAAAAAGCTTTTATTGGATTAAACTGTAGATGAGAGAGATAAAATCAAAGATTAGGCATTCAAATGTTCACCACACAATTGTGTGTACAGCTTTTGATTTGTTTAACAAACTGACCATGGCAAAGGTATTTTTGTGTTATTGTACTAAAAATTACTTGTATAGTGTATATAGCGGAAGAAATACAAAACTCATTCTGGATTATCAGTTTATTTGAGCAATCACATGTCATTGTTTGATCCATGCTGTGCGATGATCTCCTCTGCCCCCACCGCCTTAGTTATGTGTGCCATAACTAGGCCAGTTCCCCCTCTCACATCCACAGCACTACTCAAAGTAGACTTCTCTTTAATCAGTTTTACATTAGGTAAACATTGAGCCTACATTTCTCTGTCTCCTGCCTTGTTCTTATTTCTGAACTAGGAGAGCATGTTTGCACCACTGCTGCTTAAATCATTTCCTGAATTTCATAGGGTTGAGATGATGTGGGGAAATAACCTACTAACAAAGTTTTTCGTGAGAGGCAGCCCAACATAAATAGTCTCTCAGTTATCTTCCTTTTATAAAGCGCATATGTCATATT